CCCTTTCCCGCCGCTTCCCTTTCGCGTATCTTTGCTAAGCGACCGTTTTGTGGTGGGTTGTTTTCCAGGTGCGCTGGGGTATGCAGCTACGAAGGCAGGGGCGGAATGTGTTCCATCCGCCTCAGTGAACCCCTCTTAAAGTTGAGACCAAGAAAGGATCTGGTGGAGGTATTCTTTGCGTGAACCCGATGCTTAGCTCAGTAATTTAGAAACGCTTGTTACTGGTTTAGACTGCTGTAAATTAACTTGTGCACGTGAAGAAGAAAAAACCCGTTTTCCCTCACTGCGAACTCTTATTGTGGGGCAAATAATAGTGATTACCTTATATTCTTATTGTGTTTCGAAAATAGAGGCTTTCAGGTAAGTCACCCAATGTGATCTTTACGGTAATCCTGTTTATGTTCACGGTGTGTTCTCATTTTTATAAATTAAATAATCAAGGTTCAGAGAGGCAAAGTGGTTGGTTTAGAAGCAGAGAAAAACTTAGGATCCAGATCTTTGTATTGAGACACACGGATTCTCCTGTGTTCAGCCGCCATGGTGTCCTCCCAGGACGTGTAGCTGAGCTGGCAGAACAAAGCAGCGTGAGGGCACACTGCGTATCTAGAGCTAGTGGTCACTCCTGCTAGCAAAACGGAGCCGTGGGAGCTGTCAGAGTATGTTTAGTGGAGTCGAATAGTTGCCTGAAGATCCCCAAGATACAGCCAGTGTGAGTGGTCTTGCCCCAATTATATCACCTGCAACATATGCACTGGAGGGCATAAGTGGTAGAGAAATACCACCTGTGGTATAGGTGGATGGGAAATAAGTTAAAACGTGCTTGGAAATATGTTTTTAAGGGTAATAAAAGGTAATGGGTTTCACAACAATGTGAATGTACTTAGCAGTACTGAACTGTACACTTAAAATGGTTAAGGTGGTAAATTTTATGTTACTTTTTTTTTTTTACCACAGTTTTAAAAAGGTAAATAGCCACTAAATGTAAAATGGTACAACAGAAATAACTCAATAAGAAAGAAAGGAATAAAGGAACAAAGCCCAGATCAAATAAAGAGAAAGGTGGACATAAAAACAGCAGTTATTATGTTAAATGTACATGGACTAAACACTCCAGTTAAAAACATGAAACGACATCCTAGATTAACAGACATGCTTAAGATAAAGACACACATGTTAAATGTAAAAGGATGAGGAAAAGCATATCATCCAAATACTAGACAACAGAAAGCAGTTATGGCTTTATTATATTAGTATTAGTTTAAAGATTTTAAGGGAGGGAGTTTTACTAGAAAAAAGGGAGACATTTTATAATGATAGAATAATCTATTAAATAAAAACACATAATGACCCTAAAAGTAATAACATAGCTTTAAATGACATAAAGCATCAATTAGCAGAAACAAAGAGAAATAATCAATCCACAGTCATAGTTGCAGATGTTAACACAACTCCGTTGGTAATTAAATGAATAAGCAGAAAATAAAAATAGTAAAAATGAAAAAAAAAAAAGTTGAACAATATGATTAATCAGATCAACCTTACCAGGAGCCCTACTTGGAACAGCCCTAACTGAAAACTGCTTAATGAATATTTGTTGCATAAATGATTAAATTAACACGTGAACAGTTTTTTATCTTTTTAAGGTAATGGGCAAGAAGAAAATGGGAAATAGGTGCTAATGCTTTAAGTGAGCATCTGCTGTTGGCAGAAAGTTCTAACATCAGATCAGGAAGGTGGACAGAGGAAGAATAGGGGGACTCTGGCCTGTATTGAAAGTAGCTGCCTAAATTATAATCAGTAGGATTCAGAAAAGGAAAAGACTTAAACTGGTTGAGGAGATCAAGAAAAGCTTCAGAGATGTGGATTTTATTACTAGTAACATCACCACGCCTACTGTTTGCCGGACTACCCTGGTTATTGTAGTGTTTGCCTTTACCACAGCCCTGCAAGATTAGGGTATCTCCATTTTAAGGGTGAGGGGCAAGTTGTAACTTGTCCAGGGTCACGTGGATAATGAATACCAGATCCTCGCTTTAGGCTCTGGTTTCCCTGGCCCTAAAGCTCTTGTCCTGTCCCCTTAGAACTGTTACCACTGCAAACTAAAACATGGGGGTGAGCCTGACAGGACAGATTGGATTCTCACATGTACACATAGTAGAGGAGACTATCTTGACAGAAGGAATGGGAGTGCTGTGAACAAAAGTGAGGCCACTAAACTTACGGCATGTTTAGGAGCAGAAGTACTTGTTTTTGGCCAGATATAGAACAGTGGTGGGAAATAGAGGTATTTGGAGACCATGTTGTGTAGAGCCTAAATGTGGAAAATGGTAGCTGTATAAAAATAGAAGTGTTCAGTACAATGCCATGTCCCATTTTCGAGATGTGTTTAAATTGGACCCAAAATCAGGAACCTAAGTAGTTTCTCCTTTCTGAGAATAGTTATTATTTTAGAATGTTGAGAGACATCTGAAATGTAGAATGGCCTTTGACTCTAAGTCTCAGTAGAGCGGCATTTTCTTGAAAAGGTAGAGTTGATAATTTTAAAAGGGATGGTTTCATAATGACCAAGTTAAAATGTTTGATTCTCCCAGTTTGCTGTTCAGCATAATTTTGTAAGACTAAAATTCATTAATGCCAGTCTAGTTCTTCTGATGGAAATTCTTTTTTTCACAAAACTATGGAGGATTATGAAAAAGGTATGCTTTTGAAGACCTTTATGATTTTCACTTTTTGTATTCACTTTTTTTTAGAATAAAGTATGAAATAGCAGCCTTAAGTGCTTTTGTTAACCTTGCACCTAAACTGCTGCATCCTTGGTGTGGAATGAGCAGGTTTTACTGTTTGTTCTAAATTTTTACATGATTCAGAATCTCAAAACTATAGAAAGCTGTACACAAAGAAATCTTGATCTCCCCCATCCCTCTATTCTGCACTCTCTACTTACTAAAGGATACTGTTATTAGTTTCTTTTTTCTATCGTTGTTCTGTTTTGCCAATATTTATATCCACTCCTACGCCCTCCCCACCACATAGCATACTTCTTAGACAAAATTCTGTGTATACTCTTCTGTACTTTGCCTTTTTTCATTAAAATGATACAGTCTGTAGCCTCCTCCAAATCATTTCATAGAGAAATTTTTCTTTCTTTTTTATGGCTGCATGGAATTCCATTATGTGGCTTTTCTTTCAACCAGGCCCCCTATTGCTAAACACTGTTCTCACTCTTTTGCTTTTGTAAGCAGTGCCGCTGGGAAAATACCTCATATGTACGGCCTTTCATTTTAGTCTGGGTATTGCTGAGTTCAGCGATAGATGGATTTGTAATTTTGTTAGATGTTATCAAATTCTCCCCCCCAGGGAGAGGAGAACTTGCGCCGTTTTGCACTCCTTCCAGTGATACAAGGGAGGCTTATTTTCCCTTGGCTTTACTAATGGTGTCAAACTTGAGGAGTGTTACCAGTCTTGATAAGCAAGAAGTGGTATACTAATGTGTTAATTTGCATTTCTGTTTTTATAAATGACCTTGAACGTTTTTCACATGTCTATGGATCACATATGTTTCATTTTCTCTGACCTGTCCGTGACATTTGCCTATTTTAAAATTGTATTGTTGGTCATTTCCCTATGGACTTTTAGGAGTTCTTTATATTTTAGGAATTAATAGGCTGTGAGATGGTTGCACATATATTTTTCTTGAGTTTCTTTTTTCGCTTTACTTATAAAATTTTTTCCCCATAAAGAACTTTTAAATTTTCACGTAGTTGGATTTGTCAGTCTTTTCTACTGGATTTTGATTAATAATTAAAAAGGCTTTCTTGGAACAGGAGTTCTTAGCCTGGGACCTACAGAGCTTTGGATATTATAGAGGCAAAGTTTTGTGAATGTGTGCTTATGTAAGTTTTCTAGAAAGATCGTTCATGACTTTGTTCAGTATCTGAACGGAGCCTGTGATCCAAAGAAGGTTAAGACCCCAGGTAGAGTAAGAAAATGCATTTTTATTTTCAAAAGCACCATAACAAATGAATTTGACTGTTCTCTGTTTCAGACCCTCTTGCATGAAATGATACATGCCTATTTATTTGTCACAAATAACGATAAAGATCGGGAAGGGCACGGTCCAGAGTTTTGTAAACATATGCATCGCATCAATCGCCTGACGGGAGCCAATATAACGGTATATAAAGCCACACATATTTATGATATTCAGTAGTTATTGATTCAGTACTTCCTGAAAATAGAGAACTGGGTAGAAACGAATACTATGTTTGAGGATTTTCCACAGCAAGTGAGAGGCCCAGAGAAGCTGCCTGGCTTGTCGAGGACCACGTAGGCGAAGGGCGGCTGCACCAGCGGTACCCTGGTGCCTCCAGCCACAACTAGGGCAGCACGTTGCACAGGGTTACTGCGGGCCTGCGTACCTCTCTTCTGGACTACTACAGTCCGCTCCTTATTTTGTTGCCTCGTTGTCGTGTCCTCCTCCAGTCTGTCCCATATTGTGCTACCATTTCATGTGTCATTCCCTTCATCAGAAGTCTTTGATTCATATTTCTGCATGATATTGTAGGAGGTGGCAGAGCCTGGGGTCAAAAAAGCAGGAAGAGTCAGGTTGCTTGCGTCCAGACGCTGGCGCCACTGATTCACTGTGGGACCCGCTGATTTCTTCTGCGCTTCAGTTTACTCACGTGAAAGGAGGGTAATGACAGCACCTACCTGTTGGGTCCTGTGAGGCTTAGAGGAAGTGCATGCAAAACGTTTTAGCGCAGTTTGAGTACTCATTACATGTTAGTTGCTTTTGTTATTACTGATGCCTTTTTTCAGATAACCTTGCTCTTCCCTTTCTCTTACCTTCTGCAACCCCCCTGCTTATGTCTTAACGTTTCTAACTGGACTTTGCGCCTCCGTGCCTGTCCTCATATACCCTCTTCCTAAAATATGCCACTTCTCCTATTTTCTGTCAAAATGATCTCCATCTTTACAGTGAGATACAAATTCTCCGTCCTCAGAACCTGCTCAGCAGATTTTTAACCTTTTACACTATTTTATTCTGCTTTCGTACCTCTCACGGGGCGGCTCTTGCCTCTCTTTACATACCTCTGCGTGAGATGTGTAATGCAGTGCCTCTACAGCCGCTTAGCAAATATGGAATTGAATGGAACCAAACAGAAATATTAATTCCTACAAAGATTAAATGCCCTGGCGTGTTTAGATATTTCCTTCCTTTAAAGGAAGGATATTGACTTCCTTTAAAAGGCAACAAAGGCCAGTGTGATGGAAAGCGAGAAGTGCTGACCCTCCGTGTATTATTTTCTAGCCGTCAGTTTAATTTTCTAGAGAGCTCATTTAATTACCGGACAGAGTTTCTTCAACATCAGGGAAGTGGCTTGCATTAACACAATCACATAAAATCCAGATTAGCAAAAGAATTACAGAGTTGCTAGTGTAAAAGACTTAGTTTCTTCATCAGGATTCACACTTTAAGCAAAATCCTAGTATACTTCCTGTTGTTCAGTTGGAAGAGGATATGCCCTTTTATCTTGGATGTCTGTGTGTTTACATCTAGGAGGTTTTATCAGGTGGACACGCCTTGCTTTCACAGGTTACATCATGTATATAGCACACTCCACAGGGCATCCACATTGAGAACAATTTTATTTTAGTGACTACATTGTTAAAAAGTTACATCCCCAGACTATAGGAATTACAGAAGCTGGAAGCAAAACAGATCCAGTTCGCTGTGGTCTTTGCCGCTGAATCGTTAAGCGGAGTGTTCTCAACATGAGAGGGCGGGCAGGGTCTTACAGACCTCCTCGCTCCCAGACCCTCTATCCTCCAGTCTCTTCTGCACCTACTATAATTTGCGTTGTTTGCGTGCTTGCCAAATAATAGAGTTTGTTTGCTTATGATGGAGAGATGGTGATTATGAAACTATTTATCTGTAGAGTTATAGAAAGCTTCGCATTCTTTCCCACAAGGGGACTTTACTAAAGAGTTAAATGCCTTGGTTTAAACAAACAAAACAAAACTCATATGCTGTTGCTCTTTATCTTATATAAACAGTAACGTTTCACTGAGAGGACAGGAGGAAAAGGTGCTCAGTCCTTCAGGAGTATCCGTTTCAGACGGTGCCCTGCCATCCTCAGTACTCCCGAGGTGCGGGGGCTATAGCCGTCCTGCCTGTCTCCTGCTTAGGTTCTAAGTAAGATTTCATCTAGAGGGTGAAACAAACAGATCCTGTTGAAGGACTGAAAAGCACATTTACAGAGAATATTGTTTGACTCAATGAAGCTTTTCACTCAGTCAGCAAACACTTGAGCACCTTCCCTGTGCCAGGCCAGTAATAGCCACTAGGGGTACAGGCTGGGAACATTCAAGTCCTGGAGAGCTTTTCACCTATAATCAGATAAAATAATAGCCCGAAGGCTTATTATGAAGAAATGGGCGGAGCCGGGCGCTTGTGCAGGGCTGGTTTGACAGACGCTGCACGAGGCCTGGCGCTTGTGTTTGGGTCCAGCATTTACAGGAAACAGTCCTCAGGACCCTTTGGTTACTTACAGGGGAAGATTTCAGCTTGGCAGTGGGAACAATTCTTATTTATTACAGCATTATATAAAATCTTGTCTTTATCCTAGTTTTTCATCATTTAGAAATAAGGGTTTCTAAAACTTTTAGCATTTATAGAAGCTTTTTGGTTTTTTTAATTTTCTTCTAGTCTCGCCTTTTTCTATCTTTACACAGTTTATGAAGCACTAAATTAAGTGCTGCTGTTTCCCATTAAAATGAACTTTTGAAGAGAAGCTAAATATCGTTACTGTCTTGCCCACAACACAACTTCAGAAAGCTCTGGGAAACTGGAAAGTTAAAAAGGGGGGCGGGGGGCTGCTTATATATTGCTTGTATATTTTCTTATACTTGTTAACCTACCTGCTTAATGCTGACAACGTTGTCTCGACCCAGGTGTACCACACTTTCCACGACGAGGTGGATGAGTACCGGCGACACTGGTGGCGCTGCAATGGGCCGTGTCAGCACAAGAAGCCATATTACGGCTACGTGAAACGCGCCACCAACAGGGCACCCTCTGCTCATGACTGCTGGTGGGCTGAGCACCAGAAAACCTGTGGAGGCACCTACATAAAAATCAAGGAACCAGAGAGCTACTCAAAAAAAGGCAAAGGAAAGACAAAACTAGGAAAGCAGCCAGTATCAGAAGCAGAAAATAAAGGTAACTCTGCTTATATTCTTCCAACTTTTCCACGGCTTTGGCTGTAACGCAAAGACAGTACTGTCCATCAGAGAACTGGCATTAGGTAAGCTTAAGGATTGTTTCTAGTGTAGACGTTTTCAAGTGTGGACTCAAGGGAAGAAAAAAATTCCCATTGTCCGTGAAATGGTGGTAGAAAAATATCCTCTGCTGTGCATAGACGTGAGTAAAAGCAGAAGTAGCCTCCACTGCTGGAATCTGAGGGCAAAGCCCCTTCCCTGTCCTGACGCACGGGGTCGCTAGGGTAGAAGCGGGAGGCAGAAAGAAGGTCAAAATGAAAACAGTAGTTCAGATGACAGTGCCCGCAATGTAAGTCCTAGCTGCAGCCCTTCCTATCAGCCGGAGTCTATCCAGGTGACTTCCGTTGATGTGTGTATTTTCATCGGGAGAATATGGGGAAAGGATTTGACATGTATCACGCTAGCACTTCATCCTCGGGATTTATCCCTTTCCTGTGCAGTGCGGAGTTACTGCCCTTTTTTTAATTTAGCTCTGTAATCTCACTTTTTCTTAAAGTCTTTATTGAATTTGTTACAATATTGTTTCTGTTTTCTGTTTTGGTTTTTTGGCCTGGAGGCATGCGGGATCTTATTTCCCTGACCAGGGATCGAACCTGCACCCCTTGCTCTGGAAGGCGAAGTCTTAACCACTGGACCGCCAGGGAAGCCCCTAGAGTAACTGCCTTTTGAAGGGGTAACAAGGTTACTAAAGTTAATGCTTCTTCCCTTGGGAAGTTGTGGATTTGATGTGATAAGGACTCACAGACATAAGCTATATTTCTCATATCTGAAGTGTTGATTAGTGAGTTGAGAAGCTGTAGAATTTATGTGGAGAGATTTTATTCCCTCAGTTTTGTGAGTTGGGAAGATAAGAATGCGGTAGCAGATTTTTCCCTGCTGGAATGACACTTCATACTAAAAGCAATTTTCAAGGTAAAAGTTACTTTGCTGTTGATGTTTGCGTGATAGAACTGCTTATCTAAATATGAGAGGGTGTTTTTGTCTTTTATGTTTTCTCAGTACCACAGCTTTCGGACTGCTGAGGATTGTCCGTGTCCCGTCAGTAGATAATTACAACATAGTTCTAATGCAGAACAGAAGTCGTATTCCTTCATTTGGAAAAGCTCTCCACTAGCTTAATATGTGTTATGGTGTTGACTTTGAGCCAAGGAAGAATCTTATTTGCTTCTTTTGCAGGTAAACCGAACAGAGGGGAGACACAGTTGTTAATCCCTTTCAGTGGGAAAGGGTATGTTCTAGGGGAAACCAGCAATTCGCCTTCATCTGGGAAATGTCTCACTTCACATGCTGTTAAAACCCAGGATCTTTTAAATCAGGACCGTTCAGCAAATGCCTTAAGACCCAATTCGAAACCTGAGGTGACATTTGAACAGAACGGCTCAAGTGGGAAAACTTCCCAAGTCTCCGCTGCTCTCAATTCCAGTCACCAAAGTGTTTTAAGCAACCACTTCTCGAGAGTATCGGTCTCCAAGCACAAGGCTTTCAGAAGTGTGAGTGGGTCTCCGATGAAAAGCCTCACGGTTGGTGACATCACTAAAAACTCAGTCTCTTCTAGTTCTCAAAGGAGGGTGACATCTTCTAAGATATCCCTAAGAAATCCTTTAAAAGCAGAGAAATCGACATCTGTGACTGCACCCCAGGATGCAGGTGGGCCTGAAGATCAATTCCCAAGTAAACGCCCCAGGCTCGAAGACAGGACTGTTTTCCACAACTTTTTTATCGTGAAAGAGCAAACACAGAGTGGTGGTAACGATCCAAAGTGTGGTTCATGTCCTACAGCTGCAACGCAGAATGCCAGCAGTTCATCTAGTCAGAGCAAAATGGTTCACTGTCCTGTTTGTCAGAGTGAAGTTTTGGAGTCTCAGATTAACGAGCACTTGGACTGGTGCCTTGCAGGTGATAGCCTCTAAGTCAAAAGCTGAAAAAAATCTCTGAAAAATGAATGGGTCTCACGTGTCCCACCCGTATTACCTCATAGCACAGTGTCAGCCGCTCAGGAATTCCTGGTTAGTGCTAAGATTTGCAGATTATAACCTAGTTCACCCATATTAAATGTTCTATTTTATATATACATATATGAGATTGTAATTTAAAATATTTTATGTCTAAAGGTGCTATAATTCACTCTTAGGTATACTGTAGCCCAGAGTTTCTTCTGGATGCATACATGTATAATTTTTAGATACTTTTGTTCTTTCTTTTAAAAGTATTTAAATCTGTTAATCTCTTTAATTTGCATATTTTCCTTAAAATAGTCAGTGAGGAATCTTGTCAGGTGTTTGGTTAAATTGAATATTCCTTTATTAATATTAAAACTCATTCCCAGAACTGTTAATATGCATAGTATCGGACATATTGACCAAAAATACAACCCAGTTGTTTTCTGGTACTCAAGTCTTTTGGTTTTTCTTTTTCAACCAAGTTGCCTAGTTTATGTACAAGTGGACCATCATCTGGAAACAGTATGATGAACCTTAAGCCAAAGCTGAAACCATTTAGGAATACCATTTGTGTATGTAAAAAAGTACATTTCTTTTAAAAAACAGTCTTTTCCACGTCCCAGCAAAGGGACAGAGATAGTTTGATCAATTTACTTTGTCTCATGGCTCTACTGCCAGTGTGTTGGCATATTTTCAGGGCCTTAGTTCACAGGTTTTCTTTTTCTTAACTTTGTTGCAACACTTTATATCCGTAAGGTGCAGCTGGGTTCCCCGCTGAGTGACCACTACGCAGGTGCAGTTAGAGGGCATTTCGGTTGCCATGAAGTGTCCTTATGGGCAGCTCTTGCCAGCCAACACCCACCACCCGAGCAACCACTGTTTTCGTCTGTCACCACAGTTAGTTTAGCTCGTTTTTAAGCTTCATGAAGGTAGTACCCTTGTTGCTGTGGGCAGCAGAAGTCCAGTCTTCTCATTGCTCTGTAGTATTTGTATGAATACACCTGAGTTTATTTATCATTCTGATAGTAATGGACATTGGAGTGATCTCCAGTTTGGGGCTGGCCATTCTGAATAACGCTGCTAAGAACATTCTCACTCATTTCTGCTGAGCATATCCCCAGTCTGGAATGCAGGGCCACCAGGTGCATTTATGTTTAGCTTTGGTAAATGCTGCCAGTTTACAGTCCTGCCAGCAGTGTATGAGAGCTTGTTGCTCAGTAGTCTTAACGCTGTTGTCAGTCCTTTTCATTTTAGCCTGTCTGGTTGAGTGTTTACGAGTTTTGATATTTCTTAAGCATGAAGTTAAACAGTAGTATTTAATAAATATTTATGGATACATGACTTAAAATGTGTATTATGTTGAATATATATCCGTGACACTTTCATAGAGGATCATTTTCTCTACTTCAGTTTAACAAATTTTGTGCAGTTAAACACTTTTTGGGGGCGGAGGGGTGCAAAACCGTACAAGGCTCTGGGGCTGTGAAGTAAGTAAGAGCCCGAGTCCTCAAGGAGCTTTACAGCCTAGTCGGGGAGTGAGACAAGCAGAGTGGTTTCAGCGCAGTAAGTGCTCTGACGGGCTTCTGCGGGAGCTTAAAGACAATCAGCAGAATAGCCCAGGGCTTCAGGGGACGGAGCGGAGAAGTTCTACATCCGGCTGAGTCTCCTAGGCCCAGTCAGGGTCGCCTGGGGTCGGGGTGGGGGATAGAAAGGGCCTTGCAGAGAAGGAACACGAAGGCTTGGAAACAGACCTGCACGTTCGACTGGGAGAACTAAGCTGTTCCAAGCGGACGGAGTGTATGTGAGCTGTGAGGGGTAAAATGGCAGAAGGAGGACGACTGCAGACAGGACGGTTGTACGCAGAGCCCGAGGCAGAAAGACCCATCCGTCCGTCACGTTCTGCGCTCTACATCCAGTTTGTATGGCCCCTGTTCATAATACATCTGCTGATTTAGGTGGGGCTGGTGCAGTGAGGCTTGGGAAGGCTTGTAAGCCAGCCAGGAACATTCGAGGTGTTTTGACCAGTTCTCCGGGGGCAACAGAGACAGGAGGAAGAAAGGGGGGCAGTGGCAGGGAAGGAGAGAGGATGGGTTCGAGAAATACTCAGGTTGTAAAACCAAGAGCTGGTCAGTTTTAAGGGATGATGGGAATGTTAGTTGGCAAGAAAACAAGTTAATTTTAAATTGGGGATTAAATAAGCCTTCGCGTCAATCGCTCAGAATTCTGATACTCCCCAATCTGTCATTTATATTAGAAAAAAAAGAAACAGTTTTGTTTTGTTGGTTTGTTTTCCCCTTTTAAAGCAAGTTTCCTATCCTGATAACAGCTAGTAATTTGGGGTCAACCTTTAAATGTTGTTGCCCTTCATGTTGCAGAGATGGGGTGGGAGAAGGGGAGCAGACTTGACTTCTATAAAACTTCGGTGTTTTTTAAAGTCAAGATTATACAATATCTAGCAAAGCAACTTTAGGCTTAGAAAGTATAGTAGACTTTCATAGTAGACTATAAATGCGTATCCTAACTGGAAATTCTAAGGTGGGTGGGAAAATGGGACAAAAATCTCGCAGGGTATCCCATTGTCCTAAAGCTCTGAGCTTGTGGGTGTTTTGTTGTTTTTTTCCCCAAAGCTTAGAGGAGTTTTAAGTAAATTAGAATGTCAAAGTGAAACAGGCGCTGTATCTTCCTGCAGATTTAGTACCCAGCTGGGATCCCCTGCCTGGGGCACACGCGGTATCTCCTCTCACTGGGTTGCTTGGTGAAAAAGCAGAGCTTTCTGCAGTTAGTCCTTATTGAGGGGCAGTGGGTTCCTGTTGTTCTTTGTCTCAATTTTTTGTCCTTGAGGCTACTGGTGCCTTCTTAGCAACTTGTTGTGTTTGTTGTTGACTAAGTAGCATATCCACCAAATGAAGTGAAACTCTATCGGACAATTATATTACAGATTAAGTGGCCTGGGGAGTTGAAATTAACAGAAAAGGATGCAATGTGGAGATCAGCTCTGGTTTTCTTTTCTTTTCCTAACATTCCACTAGAATGTTAGAAGTTATATAATTCCATACACATCATCACACACCTTTTGATAAGTGAAAGACTTGATCTTCTTAAGTGACTCAGGAATCATCTCAATGTTAAAATTTACACCGTTGTAGACTGTAATACAGAAACAAGCCGCTGTTTGCTTTCTTCAGTTCTGGTGCTAATAAACCTACCAAAAGATTTATACCCTCTGGCTTAACTGAACACCAGATGGCGCTCTTAGTAAATTAAATTTCTCTGAAAAAACCGAAGGCAAAGCGAAGCCAGAAGGATATAAGGGAGAAACTTCAACGGGAACAGTAATTGCTAATCTTGACTCATAGAGGGAAACGACAGGTTAGGGTCTCAAGTCCTGAGAGAGGAGGGGGCGCAGCATGGCCAAGAGTGTGTGCTTGTTCAAACAAACGAGGACTGATCTACAGGGCACCGTAATCTCCCTAGACTTGTTTTCATTTCACCTTCCACTCTGAACACTTAACATACGGCAAAACATGGTACTCCCCAACAGAACGTCTTCCAGACACGGTGGGACCTATACTTTCTACTGCTTTCAAAATCATAGTACTCTTCCTTTGAATGTCTGGCACTTCTTATTTTGTTGTGTATCATCATCTAGGTTAATCTGAAAGCTTCCTAGGACATGATGTCCTTTGCCCCTGTGTCAGAGGTCTAGAAGAAAGAAGAGGGGCCTGTTGTTAAAATTCTTGGCGTTTCTCAACTTCCATTGTTACCTGCTTTTGCAAAAACATCTTAATGTAACACTGACTCTTCCCCATACTTCCCTGAAGAATCAAAGTTTGTATTTTCAAGATAGGATATTCTTAAGACCCAAATCATTCCAGGTTATAAGCATGCCTTGCAAACTAAATACATGAAAATCTACATGAAAGAAAACTGGATTTTTTTAACGAAAGATTCCTCACAGGATTCCTTTATGTATTTGTATACATTTAAAATAATTCCATAGGTAAGCTAAGATGCACCCAGACACCTGTTCAGTTGCATTCTTAACATCAGATACTCAAATAGCCACCTTCGTAGGATCCCCGAGGGGAGGATGCAGTCTAGCTTCTTGGCATGTCTGTGAGGGCCACCGTTGCTGTTATTTGTAGACTGTTCATTCTCAGTGGTATAGAAGGCGTGTATGTGTCCATCCTGCTTTCCAACTCTTTGTGCCTGTTTTACTTTGTACTTTGGGCTGCTTTCCTACTTTTTTTTTTTAATGACCTTCCTTATATATTCAGTTGAATCTATTCTTCCTGGGGTACCTCACAATTTAATTTTTAATTTTGTCATTTTCAGTTTCTCTACTGAGTTACATCAGCTCTTGTTTCACAGCTTCCTGAGGAGTCTTTTGGTCCATCTTTGTTCTGAGATTTTGAATTTCGAATTTCAGGTGCTAATTTTTATTCCTTCCAAGTTCTGTTGGAGGATATTTAATTCACACCAAATATTGTTGCAGTTTTCTTCTGCCTCATGGTTGAGGGGAGAATTTTCAGCAGCTATACTTATCGTTTTTTTCCTTCTTATAGATAGATAGTAGTGTTTGTAGATATTTTCTTCCCTTTTCGGCTCATTTTGAAAGATATTCTTTTCCTTGACTTGCAGAAACACTTGGTTCGATGTAGGCAAGGATGAGGGGTTTCTGATTCAAAAGTGTTTTCTTCTGTTGGAACAGTGAAATACGGTTATTTCTCAGAGATGACACTTTTCTTTGTGAGGTGTGGTAGGGGCTTGGAGTCTCACCTGATTCTGTAATTTTACTTTTCGAAGACCCTCACTTCTTTCATTTTATCATCAAGCCTCCAGGAGACATCCCCCCCTGTCCCAGACACAGTACTTCCCTCACACAGCCCCCTTCAATCTCATTCAGACTTCCCCTTGATGATCCCGTGGGCAGCACTGCGATGCACTGGTGTGAGGCGTCAGTATCCCCA